CAACCAACTATTCTATATAGTTCGGAAACATGGCCAACCAAAGAATCAGACGAGAGAAGTCTACAAACCATGGAGATGAGAATGCTGAGGATGATTGCTGGGGTAACAAGAAAGGATAAAGTGCGCAGTACAAGAATATTAAGTAGTTTAAAGGTAGTGCCCATTAAGACTAAGTTAATGGTAAACAGACTTAGGTGGTAGGGGCACACAATGAGAAGGCCTATGAACAACATAGGAAATAAAGTTAAGAGTTTGGAAGTGATGGGCAAACGTAAAAGAGGAAGGCCAAAACTTCAATGGGGCCATAAAGTTAGAGCCAATATAAAGAAGTATAAATTAGATAAAAGAGATTGTATTAATAACATAAAGTGGAGAGAAATGTTGAAGGAGCTTACCACCAGAAAAGATGAAAGCTAAAGAGAAAAAAAAATTTTTTTTATTTAATTGAGAAGCGGAAATAAGCGGAATTCTTTGTAAATGTGAGGTGCAATTAGCGATACTTATGCCAATGTGTAGCCCTTTAATTGAACATTAAGAATCCTTAAACGGCATATCAGCAGAATTAACGGCTAGTGAGTTATGAGCAAAATAAGAAAGTGTTGGCACTTTGCTAAAACCGAAAAAAATTAAGAATAACTTTCGAAACATGGCAATTATTTATTATTCAATTTGTGCAATATTCTCAAAACATGATAACCGTATCATTAACCGCTAGCGAGTAATATTTGCTTATTTGAGAGGAAATAGGCGGAATTATTTATAAAAAGTAAGGTGATAAGTTTATGTTAAGAACTATAAATTAGAAGATTCGTTTCGTAAGTTATTCTTATTTATTTTCAGTTTTGGCAAAGTGTCAACACTTTGTTAATTTGCTCATAACTCACTAGCCGTTAATTCTGCTGATATGCCGTTTAAAGAATCTTAATGTTCAATTAAAAAACTACAAATTGGCATATGTATCGCTAATTGCACCTTACCTTTTATAAATAATTCCGCCTATTTCCGCTTCTCAAATAAGCAAATATTACTCTATTGTGGTTAATGAGACGGATATCACGTTTTGAGAATATTAAAGCACAAATTGAATACTAAATAATTACCAAGTTTCGAAAGTTATTCTTAATTTTTTTTCGGTTTTGGCAAAGTGCCAACACTTTCTTATTTTGCTCATAACTCAATAGCCGTTAATTCTGCTGATATGCCGTTTAAAGATTCTTAATGTTCAAATAAAGGGCTACACAATGGCATAAGTATCGCTAATTGCACCTCACATTTACAAAGAATTCCGCTTCTCAAATAAATAAATATAACTCGGTTACGGTTAATGATACGGATATCCCGTTTTACGAATATTAAACCACAAATTGAATACTAAATAATTGCCAAGTTTCGAAAGTTATTCTTAATTTTTTTCGGTTTTGGCAAAGTGCCAAAACTTTCTTATTTTGCTCATAACTCACTAGCCGTTAATTCTGCTGATATGCCGTTTATAGGTTCTTAATGTTCAATTAAGGGCTACACATTGGCATAAGTATCCTTAATTGCACCTCACTTTTTATAAATAATTCCGCCTACTTCACTCTTCTCAGATAAATAAATATTATTCGCTTGCGGTTAATGATACGGATATCCCGTTTTTAGAATATTAAAGCGTAAATTAATTAATTGCCAAGTTTCAAAAGGTAATCTAATTTATTTTCGGGTTTGGCAAAGTTCCAACACTTTCTTATTTTGCTCATAACTCACGAGCGGTTGATTCTGCTGATGTCCGGATAGAAGTGCAATTAAGGCTCTAAATAATGGCATAATTTTTGTTAATTGCACCTCAAGTCGTTCTGCCAACTTCACGTTTTTTAAATAGGTATAGCTCGGTTACGGTTATACATACGGATATCCGGGTTTGAGAATATTAAAGAGTAAATCAAATACTACATTATTGTTAAGTTTCAAAAAAGGATCTCTTTTATTTTCGGTTTTGGCAAAATGCCCACACTTTCTTATTTTGCTCATAACTCACGAACCGTTCATTCTGCTGATGTCCGGATAGAAGTGCAATTAGGTGCAATTAAGACTCTAAATAATGGCGTAACTTTTGTTAATTGCACCTCAAGTCGTTCTGCCAGAATCAAAATTTCACACTTTCCTTATTTTGCTCATAACTCAAGAACGGTTCATTCTGCTGATGACCGGATAGAAGTGCCATTAGGTGCAATTAAGGCTCCAAATAATGGCAAAATTTTTGTTTGCACCTCAAGTCGTTCTGCCAACTTCACGGTGGTGGAAGATGCGACATTGTTAACTCAACTTTAAAACGATCCTATTTATGGTCGCATATAGTGCCATTAAGGTTAGGTATTAATATGAGACTTCTACAATTTCACGAAGCAAATGATTATCTTATTAATAATAAATACTCAAAATTTCTTTTAAGAGTTGGTGAAGGCTAAGAAACATTTGATGGCTCGAGGTATAAAACAAAAATTCCTGAAGATTGTTGTATAGCTTCCAATGATATCGAGGATATTATTGCTTTTGTTTACGATATAGACAAAGACAATACGTCCTTTAAACCGAACATCATTTCCTCAAAATGAAATCCTGACCCCTAAAAACGTAGATGTCGATTCTATAAATATTAAATTGATTAACAAAATTCCAGGAGATTTAATTACATACATAAGTGCTGCTGAAATGATAACCGAGGATGAAGCGACGTTTTATCCCACTGAATTTTTAAACTCTTTAAGTATATCAGGATTACCACCTCACAAACTTTTACTCAAAGTCGGGGTACCTATAATATTAATGCGTAACTTAAATTCTGCTTCTGGTTTGAATAATGGGACTAAATTGATTATAACTTCTTTGCTACCAAATATAATTGAGGCGGAATTTGTTTCTGGTAGTTTTCTCAGTACTAAAGTTCTCATTCCTAGAATAAGTTTAATTCCTACAGATTCTGGCTTGCCATTTTCCTTTAAGCGCCGCCAATTTCCCGTGAGACCTGCTTTTGTCATGACAATTAATAAAGCTCAGGGACAAACGTTCAACAAAGTTGGCATCTATTTACCTCATCCTGTTTTTCCACATAGACAGCTATATGTGGCTATGTCTCGGTTCTCCTCATAAATTAAAGATTATAACCAATGATAAAACAAGAACTACAACCAATGTGGTATATCATGAGGTTATATCCGATTAATCCCGGTTTATACGAAGAATGAACATTACTTAGCATGATATTATTTTATAATTTAAACAATTTTATATTATTTAAGTATCCTATTGTCGGGCCGCACAATATGCCCTTTTATCTCTGATGAATATTTTGTCTAATTGAAAATTATACAAAGTACATTTTTTAAATTTAACTAAATTAATATAACAATTTTTAAGGATCCTACTTTTTTAAAAGCTTACCATTTTGTCGGATCCACCATTGCTCTATTATCCCGGCTGATTATTTTGTATAACAAAAAATATACATAGTACATTATTTTTATTATAAATAATTTTATATATGATTTTATATCTATTCCAAAAAATTTTCGTTTTATTTCAATAATAATGTTTATTTATATTTTTTGCCTGATTTCTTTATTTGTCTAGGCTAACCCAACCTTAATCCCTCACATTGCTACAAAACTTGATGAATCTATTAAAGATAAGCTAAGAAAATAATGACGAATAAACAAACGCCTTGCCAGTTCTAGAGTTACTGGTAGCCAAAATAATAAAAAACTATACTTGAAATTAACTCCTCTGGAGGTTTATTTATTTTTTTTATCTTATATTTTATATAATTTGCATATAAGTTTCATTAGTGTTTAATGGCACTTTTATTTAAATAGATAGCATTTTTTTTTAATTTAAAATAAGATATAGACAAGTAATTTGAGAAATGCAAGACAAACATTAAATTTATCTGAAAAGCTACAATAACCCTATATAATAAACAAAAATTACCAAAAAGTATAAGAGTCGGTTATTTTTATTTTATTTGTCATGATTCTCTAATAAGTGGTTTGCCCAGGCCTTCCCAGTTTCCCTTAATACGGAATTCACATGTTTTTTTTTACATCTTAAACTTATTGGTAAATCATATAATTCCCCTTCATGTGATGATAAATCAATTAAAAATTTAACTATCTTCTAGATGGGAAAAAATTTTCATATTATATTGGATACGACTGGGCTTGGAACCTCAAAATTTATATTAGCTTGCACCTGACATGGGAATATTTTTAACAAATTATTAAGAGTTGAGCTGGGCTGGATAAACTTTTATAATTATATGCTACCTAATATTGTGAGGGATCTGGCATGACATCTATCGTAAAAAAATGAATAAAAATCTCATTCCCCGTCATTTTTGACGGGCTTTCTACTAGTATATTAAAAGAATGAATGTGCAAAAAAAATCAAATAAAATATTAATCACAAATAAAAATTAAAAGAATGAGTGCGCAAAAAAAATCAACAAATATTAATCACAAATAAAATGGTTATCATACAAAATGACACGCTATACCTAAAACACGATACACATAACATCGGACCTGACAAATATCAACAATCGATTTAATAGATGCATTTTTACATTTCGGAGTTAGTCCAGAATATAGGGACTTTTTAGTAATTTCGACTCATATCGATTATTACCGACACCAAAGAATCCGACTAGCGCTTCGATAATATTTCAGCGCTTTATGCAAAACCTATTAAATGGAATTCCTATGGTTAGTGTATTTTTAGACAATGTAATTATTGCAGGCGAGAATAATTTTGATCATATAGTTAATCTAGAAGAAGTATTAAGATTTGACAAGGCTGACTGACAATGACGACAGATAAAATTAAAATTGGAGAAAAGTCAGTTACTTATTTAGGTGATATTATTGACGAATTCGGAATTCACCAGACAGAAGATAAGATTAATGCTATAAAAAATTGTAAAAAACCGTTTAATATTAAAGAATTACGTTCGTTTCTGGATGGTAAATTATCATGAATCGTATATAAAAATTTACATTCTATTTGAGCGCCTTTACACCGACTAACGAGTAAAATGTGAGTTGGTTTTGGCCAGCTTAAATATAATAAAATATTTAATAGAGTTTAAAAAATATTATCAAAAGAAGATACAATAATTCCTTATTTAGCCAACATTCCTGTCGTGATTTCTTGTGACGCTTCTGAAGATGGTCTAGGAGCTGTTATTGCACACCGATTTCTTACTGGCCAGGAGAAACCGATTGCTTACGCATCGAGGACACTTTCAGCGGCTGAAAAGAATTACGCCACCATTGATCGGGAGGCTTCGGCGATCATGTTTGCTATCGAGAAGTTTCATCAATATATTTATGGAAGACATTTTATTTTGGTTAGATCATAAATAAAATATATCTTAGGTGATAAAAGAGACCTAAATATAACCGTTTAATACGGCGGGCGACGAAGCTTTTAAATTATGACTATGAGATAATTCATAGGCCGGGTAATCAAAACAGATGTACCGACGCTCTGTCCCGTTTGGGGGGTAGAGAGAGAAAAAATTAGTGAAGTTAAAAAAAAATTAGAAGATGAAATTAGAAAAGTAAAAATTAATTTAATAGAAGATTTATCTTTCACACTAAGTAAAGTTATATGTGAAAAGATCAATGATAGCAATCTAAAAGAGATCATTAAATTAATAAAAAAATCATTATTAATAATTATTCGGAAAGTTTAAAAAAATTCATCTTAATTAAAGATAATATTTTTTACGAAGGGTTATTATTTTATAATGATAGAATCATTATTCCTGATAATCTAAAAAAAGAGATTTTGAATGTTATCCATCAAGGACATACTGGGATAGTGGGGATGAAATCTTTATGCAGATACTATGTCTTTTGGACGAATCTTGATCGTGATGTTGAAGTGTTCGTCAAAAGCTGCAAGAGTTGTCCGGAAGGAAGGCCGGGAGCCAGAGAAGTGCCGTTATACAATTGGAACATTCCTACCGGGAATGAATATACATTGATTTGACAGGCTCCATATCTGGAAAGTATTAGTTAATTTGCGTAGATTCTTTCTCCAAATGGGTTGAAGTTGCAATTTTAACACATATTAATTCGACAAGTGTAATAAATAATCTGCGTAATTATTTCTCTAGATTTGGTTTACCTCGTTACATTGTCTCAGATAACGGTATTCAGTTTACTGGATCTGAATTCAAGTTAAAAACAATATAAAACATTTTAGATCGGCACCTTATAGCCCCAAATCGAATGGTTTGGCTGAGCGTTATATACGTATGATGAAGACGCGTTTCTATTCTGGAAGGAGAGGTGGGACTCCGGACCATTTAAATTTAGCGAATGTTATAATTACCGAAATACTCCAAATGCAACTACCGGTAAATCCCGAAGGCCGCTCAGGACGACGTTAGATCAATGGAAATTATCTAAGAGAGAAAAGACTGAAAACGCGTTATGGAAACAAAAATATTATAAAGATAGAAACGTTGAGCCCCGTGAATTTGAAGGGAAGCAAAAGGTTTGGGTAGAAAACGAAAGGACTGCGAGACGGCATGAAGGGACAGTATTTTAACGAAAAGTGCGATAAGGGTATTGTAAAAAACAAGCATTAAGCTATGAAAAATCCCCCCCCCCTCGACCAACTGAGGGATGCTCACGTACAAGCTAAGGAAACACACATATAACAGCAACTGAGTATTTGGACATTGCAGAACATAATGAAAATACAACTCTAGAAAAAAGAGCTTCGAAACCCCCATTGTTGTTATGATGAATTCAATTTATAGAGGGTAGAACTGTAATGTATTAATATAAATTGATTTTTATTTGCTTTTAAGCTACAATTTATTTTTATAATAGACAAAATAGAAAAACATTTAATTAAATCACTTTATATTATTATTTCGAATTTATTTCAATGGACATAAAAGCACTTACGGTTTGCACAAATGGGTATAGGGATCATTTTTCTCCATAAATTTAAAAAAAAATTTAATTAGATAGAAATGAGGCCTATCTTGTATCCTGTTATATCCACAACATTAGAGGGATTACACGCTTTAAATTCGTGTATCATGTATTTGATTTGAACCATTAAAAATCCATATCATAATTTATATAAAATATTCAAAAAATAACAAATATTTTTATTTAATTTTAGCAATAATATCAGTAAAACATTGTGGAGAGGGGAGGAAAAATATTATAGATATTCATATATATTTAATAATTATTAAATTTTATAAAAGCTTTGTCGTCTCCATTAAAATTTATATATTTTTGATATTTATGTTATGTATGTAACTCAACCAAATGTAAAAAATGTCAGGGAATGAATTCGCTAAAATTGCAGCGAATCTAATATTCATTTTTAAGAAAAAATTAAACATCATATTAAAAGAGAATGAAAATATACATCCTACATTGCTAATCTCTTTAAAGAATTAATATTTTACAAGTATTTACAAAATATTTTTTAAAATTAATCAAGTAGGTTTAACCAGTAGATGCACGGAAAATGAAACAAATAAATGCGATTGTACAGAGGGTTAATTTTTTTTATAAGGCAAGTAAAATAAGATGAATTGACTGAAAGTATATTTGGCAGGTCAAATACTCTAACATTAAAGTTTGTGAATTTTTAATGAACCCTCCTTATGGTAACACTAATTATTATTATAAATAAATATACGAAACATATACTATTTTAAATAAAATATATGTAAAACAAAACATTATTTCAACAATAAATATTTTTCAGATAATCTTCATAACAAGATTTTGAAGAAACACTGGGATGTAAATTAAGAAAAACGAGTCCATCATTCTGGCATAATCGTGTCGATTCGCTATAAGTTAACAAAGAAAAGGGAGATAAATTTTGAATTTCAACGTTTAAACAAGTATTTTTGTGTGGTGTCTCGTCGGATATGTGTAAAATTGGATATGATCTAAAGTGTAAAAATTTATTCAATAAAATAATATATTTCAAAAATATATTAACATTTGGATAAAAAGTTAAAATATTCAAATCGTTGATTAATTAGGAAAATGCTTTCCGTTACCTTGTCAGAAATCATTTTTTTATAATAAAAATAATATTTTTAGAAGTTAATTGAACATTTTCATCTAATTATATTAAACATTTATTTTATTGTGAAACTTATTAATAAACTTTTGTTTAAGTATAATTGACAAAAAAATACTTTATCAAAATTTAATATTTGCCATATTTATTCCAATTTTAAAGCATTGTAATTTAGAATAATTATATGACAATGTTTGATTTTAATATTCCATTTTTATATAAATCCAGAATTAAAAGTAAAATTTTTATAAACTAGAATTGTTTTACATATTTAAGTAAAAATAACAAATTGAAATAATTATAGATTCTTCCTTATATTCTTAATATATATATGCGATCTTTTTTTTCTTTTTAAAATACAGTTATATCGAACTCTTATTAGTATCGAAATCTTTTTAGTTGTGTTTTTGAAATTCTTTTTAATTTTTATTTAATCGGAACATAAAATATTAATAATTATCGATTATATTCAAAGCAATTTTTTAAATCTTTTCCCCAAGGTCAAAAAAACAATAATAATATACAATTTTCAAAAAACGATTATATTATAATAAAACAAATTTTTTAAATAAATTTTCCCAATAAAATAAGGATATTTATACTTTTTCATCCTTTCTTTTTTACCAATAATAATTCTATAATTACACCAATTCATCCCATAAAACATTTCTTTTGATATAATTCCAAAAATAACTTTTAATTATCACTTTTTCACCAATTTTATAATTAATGATCCTTACCATACCATGACACCCCCCATATCCACTTTAATTTTTTGGTTTGACAAAGCTCGTAAATTACTTTGTTAATTTTTTTTGTGTTGATTAATTCTTTTTTTTAAAAAAAAAGAAAAAATATTAAAGTATAATTAAAATTAAACATGATAATTCACAAACTCATCTATCTACCTAATATGATTTGAATTAGTGCGTAAAAGATGCAGCCGTTTTAACCCCGATGAGGACTAACCCGATTCGCACCTACTATCATAGCCAGTCCAGGCATCATTTACAAAATCGGTGTCCTCGAAGGAGAGTAGACTCGTATTGAAACGCCAAGAGACCATCGGTGCCACCGATTCCTGCTGCGTCGTTTGACAGGGTGCCAAGTAAGATTACTAGATAGGTACTGAAAAAATGAGGTGTGGAAGAATGGTTGATTATGGTAGTGATGGTGATGTATGTGTGAACACAACTACGGTATGGATGGATGGATGATAGAGGTAGTGAAAGTGAAGGTAGGACTTCATCAGAGATCAGTGTTGAGTCCATCTTTATTTATCTTAGTAATGGATGTGGTAGATAGAAAGATGATTAAGGACTTTCATGGGCACTATTATATGCAATAACCTTGTATTAATGGCAAACAGCAAGGAAGAATTGAGGGATAAAATTACGGAAGGAATCAAATGGTCTGAAAATGAATGCAATAAAGACAAAGGTGACAATTGGCGGGGATTAAAGATGGAGGAATCTGGGCGACCAACCTTGTGGTGTATTTGTGAAAGGCGTTGCTAGAAATTCAGCACCATTTGCCAGAAATGGGTGCATAAATGTAGTAGGAAAAAAGGAAGTCTAATGTAGCAAGTGTGACCTTTATTTGTAGAGCATGCATGATCTATTATATGACGAAATATTTCAACAGTATAGAGGCCAATAAGATCGGTAGGCTTTAATATTTGCACTCATCGCTGTACATCCTTCTTGTTCAACTTATTCGATTTGCATTTAATTTGGTACAAATCAGAAATATTTTTATTTTACTTGTAGCTAAAGCCTTGTTTTGAATAGATGTGAAGGTTACAAGTCATCTTCGATCATTTTCCAAGCTGATAAAATATCTACATTTTAAAGTTTTTAAATTTGCAGATTCTCAATGAAAGATTGCTACTGATGAGGTTTTCCATTCAAGCAATCAGGAGTAATATAACCATCTAAGGGCCTTCTCCCAGGTCCGCCATCATGCTTCACATATTTTGGAGAATTCGCAGCTTACTTGACCATATATATTATTTAAAAGGATAGAATATACCCTTTTTTACATTCTATTCGCCAAAATTAGCTGATGTCTCGTACTATACATTTGCTAACTATATCGTTTGGTATCTATCTCCCTTTTATTAAATTCCTAATTTTATCTAGAAGAGCATTATTAACTTTATACCCGATTGCCTTTGATATGATACAAAAGTTATTAGAGAACCTTTAACATTTTAAATATTATTTAAAAAGACTTTGAAATATTTTTAAAAAATGATATAATATGTAACTACTTGGTTGAGGGAACCAAAGAATTCAGCATAATAGGAATTCGGTCGTTGTCAATAGCTGTCATTGAATCCGTAATCTTATTTGGTTTCTGTCTTATAAAACAAATTTCTTCAAATATCCGAACATAGGCTTTGTATAAATTCTCATCCTCACTTGTTAATGATTGCAAAGGACAAAAAGGGCCAACTCCATTCTTGAATAAAAAAAAACAAGTATATAAAAAGCCATTTTGATTCAAGGTTTTCCCCAAAAATGAAAAGGTCCAATCAAAAAAAAGAAAATTTTTAATCAAATAAGGAAACTAAAATTTTGTCGTTTTAATATTCCTGAAATGTGATTACCATTTTAATTTATGGTTATTTTTAGTTTTAATTTCTTAATTTTTTGTAACTTTTTACAATCACATTTCTCTTTAATTTCATGTCTATTTTTGTTATCCTTTCTCAATTTTTTCTTTTCATTTTAGTTTCAAAATAATTTATTACTTTAATCTTATAAATGAAATTAATTTAATATGATAAACATGATTTTTGTGATGAGAAAGGTAAATTGAAAGGTAAGGACATATAATAAAGTATTTAACGCCGTATAGCTTATATCGGAATCCAATAGAAAATGTATTTTTAATGGAAAGATTTTGTCTTCAAAGTTAGAATAATGAAGATGAATTGATTAAAGAAAGTGAGAAAAAGAGAGAGCGAGAAGTGAATAAAGAAGATTATAAATTTGATATTAGAAATTATAAATAGTAAAATATAAAGGAGAAAAAAGAGTGTTATTTGTAAATGTAAAAGAGAGAATTTTTACTTAATATTATTTTTGTTTTTATATCATAATTATAATAAAATAGTTTAATATTAAATATTAGACCTGTGCGCCCCCGGCCATTTTATTCCTGCCGAACAGCCGCCGATTGAGATCATCGGCGAGTTTTTGTGGCTGCGGCGTGGCGTGTTTAATTTTTAGAATGCTGTTTAATTATATTTATATATTAAATTATTATTTAAATTTGAATATTAACATTAATAAAATTAAAATATGAATTGAATTCTATTGCTATATATAATAGAATAGTGTATCATTTACATTCATTCCTATATCATATTTCATTTCCACAAACAATGCATATTGATTATTTGTATGACTTGTACGTTTTAAACCCTATATACAATGAAGAAATAACAACTCTCTCTACTAATCATAAATCAAGTTATGTCTGGAGGTACTTTGAAAATCTTATTTTGAGGAATGAAAATAAGAAAAGCATAATGCCTGATTATATTTATTGTGAACCTTGCTTAAAATTGGGGGAAAAAAGATGAGGAAGATTCGGATAAACATAATCCATTTTCACAGTAATTTATTTTAATTTTAGACTTAATTTATATTTTAGTTATGAAATAAAATGTTTTAGTAAAAATATAACAATTAACCATTCTCTGCACTTAGTTAATGTTCATAAAATATCAGAAAAAATTAATAATAATAAATCAATCAAAGTTTAAAAATGTTTAAAGCCAAAACACCAAGTTGTAGCAACAATATAAAAGATAAAAAATGGCTCTTAGGTTAGTATTAATGTTTATAATTATTCATTTTAAATTGTTTATTAAATTAATTATATTAAGCTCTCTTTTGAAGTTCAAAACTAATAGTTTGTTTATTGGCAGCTCTATTTTGAGAACTTTTTAATGTATAAACTTATTATATAATTTATTAAATTAATTATCTAAAACTTTGTTTTAAAAGAAAACTAAATCAAATTTTTTAATTGTTTCATTCCAGCTCTAATAATTTTGATGTTTTTAAATATCTTTTTAATGTATAAAATAAATATGAAATCGAATAGGGCGAAATTATGTTTTGATGCCTTCTATAAACAATAAAGGGATGACTGATTTTCTAAAGGTATTTAAATAAGATGATTAATAAAAATAATAGAAAGATAATTGATTCCTCGTCAGAATTGCCTAATAGGACACCATTAGTCGGGGTGCACTCGAAGATGTTTATTTATTTTTAAAGGTGCGTGTTTTAAATCTGACTGATTCAGGTACAAAATTCTATTCTATCACTTTTGATTTATGGACCGATCATTTACATTTAGTCTTCATCATTTAGATGAAAATTTTGATTTAAATTTTACCTTGGCAACTAAAAATGTGACACAAAAGCATACTGGGGAAACCATATTATCTAAGATTGATAGTATTGATGAGGAGTTCCATTAAAGTCAAAATAATACAAATGGAAACTGATGCTGTGGTCAATGTAAAAAGAAGAGTCAGATTGGGGGAATGAGCATCATTTATGCTTAGGGCATAGACTTCATAATTTGGTTACAGTTGATGAAAAAAGTTGCCAGAATTGATATTCTCATTAAAAAATTGAAGAAATTATTTCAGTCCTCAGATATCGAGTAGCTGATTTGGAATATGAAATTGAGGCTAAGCATCGTAAATGTCTACAGTAAATTTATAAGAGAGGTCATATCTTGGATATTGATGATTCTGATCCATACCTTGATGACCATTTTGATATGTCTGATGAGACGGATAATAGAAATGGCATTGCACCAACCAATCTAATTAATGCAAAAACTTTAAAATTTTGCCCTACCCGCTGGCACAGCATATTAATTATGCTAGAAAGTATTCGCTGTAAAAAAATTCCTAAATTTTTATTTAGACATTTAGAGCATGATAGATGCACAGAATGAGATTCAAGTTGAAGATAATGGGCAAACAGCCATTTGTTATATAGCTAAAATAGCTCTAAACATTCCCTTCCAAGCAAAGTTTATAAATTTAGATCAAGAATGTCATATTTTGCTCAGCCAACATAATATCCCAGAAAAAGATGCATTAACCTTTTGGAAGAAAAGGCGAATGGAACTTCCTAGACTTGCTAATTTATCTAGGCAGGTTCTTTTTATACTTGCAACCAGAACACCCAGCGAAATAATTTTTTCTATGCTGGATTAATACTTAATGCAAAAAGGACTTCTTTATTAGTGATCTGCATCAGGCCTAATTTTTCAAGCTTGGCCCGAAATTTTTTTAAAAAAGTTTTGCCGACCCAGCCCGAATTTATTTAAATATAGAAATTAATTTTTATAATTAGTAAAAATAAAAGATATATGATATATGGCGTCTTGTTTTTATAAATAAAATCAAATATTTTTATTTTACATAAAAAATTCAACATAAAATTGATAAATTTAAATATATTTAAAAAAATTTTGAAGGCCCGACCCAGCCCGAATCCGATTGGCCGGCCAGAAGCCCATTTAAGCCGGGTTGGGTTCGGGCTGGGCCTACTTTATCAGATGTTCCACGAATCTATACTATTTATTCATGGCAATTATAATTTCGCTAAATCTGAATTCTGATTTATTATATTTCATACTTTATATTTCCCAATTTATAATAAAAATCAATAGAATATTATTAATATGTGTTGTTTATCTGATCTGAGTAAAAATGCAATTCCTTAATCTATTTCTGATAATGAGAAAATACATAAATTTAAATTGGAGTGAGACTGGAAATAATTTAAGAATTAAACTATATTAACTATGAGTTAGAAAAGAGCGCCTAAATAAATTATAAAAAAATATAATACATTGATTTATAAAATGAATTCATTTTAATAACGCCGCCGCTGACAATTTAGTAAACGGCGGCGAAATCGTCCCCGCCGAACGCCGATGAAAAAATTAGAAAATACCGCCGCCGTCGATTGATACATCGGCGTACAGATCTAATAAATATTAATTACAAATTTGATTGTCAAAGAAAGTAAAAAAAAATTGAAGACATGAAATTATTAAAAAAAATGACAAAAAATAGAGAATTGAAGAAATATAACGGCTAAAATAATGAAATTATATTTTTAAAAAAATAATTAAAAAAGAGAAGAAAAATAAAAAAAATTGGCATAAGAGAAATCGTAAACGGTTAGAAGAAAGATGATTAAAAATACCCAAAATTATAGAAAAAATGGCATTTTCTCCGGTAAATTTTAAGATAGCAGTGGATCTTAAGGCATAGAAAATTTTGGGATTTTTTGTTAAGAAATAAGCCTTAAGAACTGGAAGAGTTAATTTTTTAATCAACACGATAAAATTTTTTTTACTGATTTGAAATCTTTATTAATTTAAATTCACACTCGTGTGGTCATCTTTTATAATACTACATCCTAAAAAGAAACTTAACTAGATAATTTTGTTTATAAATAATTGAGACCTGCAAATGTCAAATTTTTAGCCCTGGTTATCTATTTTCACTACTCAGTCCCGCCCATATTTTCATATTATTAGGCCCGGTCCAGATTTTAAAAATTTTGATCATTTGGGCTCTATAAAAATTTGAAAAGCCAATGAAAGTGAAAATGATCCAATATTTTTTCAGTAGTAATTTAAAAAATAAACTTGGTGTGGGTTAATAGTATTTTATCAGGTTCGGTTTTCTTTAGTAATTTTTATGTTTTTAAGTCTGGCCCAAATTAAAAAGGATTTATAACGATACATATTTAGGTACTTTGCATTTTTTTGGTAATTATATAGTAGTTACTTTTAAAAATATTACAATTTATTCTCATTTAAAAAAATAGTATTTTTACTGTAAAATTTGATATTTTTTAATTTTCAGAATTATGAGCATATTTTATCTGATTCGTAAATAATTTTAGTCAGAAGATATTGCATGTTGTAATGATACAACTTGATTGTTCATTTTATTTTACATTATATATTTAAAGTTGTGTTGATTCAATTACATTTACGTTTAATGTTACCTTTTGACAAATGTTTCATTTAAAGCGAAAAATAATATATAGGGGGAATGTGCCATAAATGGCCATGTGTGAAGAATGGCCACCACCCTTTAACTTTTTATCTATTGGACCAATTTCTCTAAAAATTGGTTAAAATGTGTATATTTATGATATGTACTTTACTTAAGTTCTTTTACTGAATAGAGCAATTCAATAAAAAACTGTTTACCTCTTTCTGGAAAAATCACTTTGCACATTTTTTTGTTGATGAAAAAATTACTAATTTCGATTACTGATATTTTATATAAATATTATCCTTAGGCATTTAGCATTATTCACACAAAAAATTAGACTTTAAAAGCTTTATTTAATAGACATATAAGGGCGCTTAATAATAATAGAGAGGTGAGTAATGACTGGCCATGTATTGATTGGCCACAATTAGCACATTCACATATTCATACTAAATGAAAAGCTCTTGCAAAACATTTGATGAAATGGAATGATGAACAAGCTTAAGAATGTTTAGTAAAATGATAATTAAGATATTAATTTATAATATTATCATTAAATAGATGTGGTAATAAATTGAGATTTCAATACTAATTAAATTAGTGCATAAATAATTTTTTATAAAACTAAAAATGTAGAAACATTAACATAGGTCTTTTACAAGTATTTCATTGTATTATTTCATATTTATAATAAAATTCTTAAATAATACACATAGTATATGGCCGTCAATATACAGTATGTATTGACTGGCCAGAAATACAACTTTCAAATCTCATTTAGCTCATAAAGTATTTTACATAGAACTTTGATTCAAATTTTATTTTAAAGATTAATATTTAGGCTACACATTGATATAAAATTTGGTTGGTTAAACATAAATTTTAATACCTTTTTTTCAAAAAAGCAAAAACATGGCCATTCATGGCACATTTCCCTTATATATTCTATCTTAGATTATAATTTGATATCAGTTATATTTTACTTCATAAAATTTGTTATTTAATAATACCATATATATTCTTTTAAATATTATTCTTTCAAAATATTTATATATAAAAAGAGATTATTATTAAATACTCTCATCCATATTCGTTCTATTTTATTCTTTCAATATGGTGGAGTAACAGATATTTATATCCAATTGATTAAATTCTTTAAATAAAGACGATTTGTCATCATAAATTCTAAACCGTTTTCATATTATTATTACAAGTTATTCCGCGTGAAATATTGTATATATATATATATAATAAATTATCTAATTAGTAATTTACAATTCAACGACGATATATCTTTATTGACCCCAGATATTAAAAATGACATATAAATTAATACCTTAATCAGCTTTTTATCATTAATAACGGCTAAGTTATTATCATTGCCCGTTGAACTCAAGATAACATATTCTGTCTCATTATTATTTAGGGTCTCCTGATTATCTTTCGCGATAACAGTTAATGCCGGCCCGATTTCAACAAAAGAAAACGAATGGTGTGGTTGTATAAGCCTTCTCGAAATGAAGGGAGAATATTGTTTAGAATTCGTGGGCATGTAATCTCTGTATTTAAAGGAGGGACATTAAAATGTGAAATGTTAATTTCTTGTTTTAATAGCTAAAAGAGACAACTATGGGGGTTTGGTTTATTTTATCATATAAATAAATCGGTTTTAAGGGTAATTATTATTTTGGTATCAATGAAAATTTCCAACAAGGTTAGAGAATATTTGAGATGTATTTGCTCAATTTTTTCACTAGTAGACCCAATTTTTTATTTATTTCAATGTCAGGGTATAAGATACTGAAGCTTATAAAAAAATATTTATTATCTCTTATACATATATTGTAAACTTAATTCAAAATTTATTTAAATTTATGTAAAAAAAATTTACGCGTTTACCTTTTTTTGTGTTGTTTGTAAGTACTTTGTTAATTTGATATAAAAAAAATTTTTATTTATAAATATATTTTCATGGGGTAGATTCGCACCCGTTTCAGTACATCTCCAAAGGATATATTCATATATATATTAATTAAATTATTAATTTTATTTTTGTTTAAAGAGGGAAAATAATAACCTTATGGTGTTAACTGCATTCAAGAAAAACAGACTTTCAAAACTGGAATACTCGTATGGTTTATAAAAATCGTAATATGAATCGATTCTTTGATTTTCGTGGAAGTTTTTCATATATTCGATTTGAATATCATTGGGATCGAGTTTTACTATGTATATTTTTTTTTTCAAAATTAAAGAATAAAAAAAAATACATATAATAAGATTCTAATTTAAGATACTCAGTGAGAAAGTTGGAAATAAAAATATCATTTAAATATTTAACCTTTTAAACTGACAACTATCATAATCGTCCCGTGATTATTACAGGGTTCCAATTCAATCAATCAATTTTTATATGAGCCAATTTTTTAGGGGAACAAAAGGTGCAAAAATTTTATAGAAAAAAATTAATGAACCCGCTATTTACCTATTACCCTCATTCAGAGCTAGCGCGAATTCGCGGCGAAGTATATAAAAATACACCAAGCATATTTTATATATTTTGCCGCGAGTTCGCCTTAACTATGTTTGAGGGGTAATGAAAAAATAGGGCAAACTTTTATCTAGATCAGTTCCTATGAATCTAGGTGCAACATCAAATTGATAAATATTATCCAAAATTAAAATCATTTGAAAAAAGAAGAAAGAGTAATTAGCATTAATTTTGTTTCTAAAACACTGAGTTCAAGTAAATAAAAAATATTAAAATATCTATTTAAAATCAATTTTGGACTTAATAAAAAAAATGAAGATGATTGCGGGAAGACCTCTATGGATATGATCTTGACCATTATTCAATTTCGACCAAAAGAGACTTTAAAACCCTATAATATTAAGGATGTTATGTATTAAGGTTTAAAAAAAATAAAGTTCTGTGGTTGGTTACAGATATTAAAGTATGCTGACTAAAGATCTGCAAAGCCTGACCCGTCCGAAAGCCCGACTAAATCTCAAAAAATTTATACAGGACCAGACCTTGCAAAAAATTATCCGGGAAATGTGCACAAAAAATTTAAAATCTTAAATTTATATATAAAAAATTAGGCAGGGCCTCGCAAATCCCTGTTTTTCGTAAAATTTTAATATGTCAGCCAGAGCATTAAAATTTTGATGTACTTTTTAGAATTTCATGATTATTTTGATTAGTACTATTTGATTTTTTGTATTTTAAGGGCTGTCTAATCTAATTCACAAAAAAACAAGTTATTTATGATATTACAAATACATAATAGATTTGAAACATAATTGATTGATAAAACGGCTGTTTTAGAAAGATATAGATAGCCACGTAGGATAAATGTAAGCCATAATTGAAATTAGGAATGAAATATGTATTAAAAATGTAATGGCCAGATACAAAAAAATTAACAAGTTGGGGCGGGTAAAATTAACGGATCGGGTCTGATTTTTGGAAAATAATTTTAACGGACCGGGAAAAAATTGAACCGTAAGGAGAATTTACGCAAAAATTCTTAAAAAGAGCCGAAATTACACAAGCTGGGGTTTGCAGATCTCCAATATAGATAGATAATATGGTTTTAAATAAATATACCTTAAAAAAAAATAACTTTAAATAAAATTGATTATACCTTGTTCGTATGGCATAGGAAGACACTCTAAAACGGACTTGTCATACCATTTGCAAAAGGATCTATCTTTAAAACATAATTATATATCTTTAAATGGTGGAGTAAAAATGTATTAATATATAATAAAAAATAAATAAATATATGCAAAATTTAATTATGCAATCAAAAAAATGATTAAACACGCGTGTTAACAAAATTTATAACAATCTTACTAACCTTTAGAATCTTTGGCCGGAATTTCGGAAAGGTTAACAAAGTTATCTATAAATTGGGCCTGTGACGAATTGTGCAAATGAAAATCATTGGTCATTTCCCATATAGCAGGAGGGTAATGTATGGAAGGCACGTAGGCTCCTAAAAATAAGTTTATGGCGTCTTGTTTCTCGGCATCTTTAAATTTTTTTTAAAAAATAAGTCTAAATTTCTAGAGAATTAAATAAATACTTTAATTGTAACCTTGGATTAAAATTTAATGCAGGAAATTTAAGGATCATATAGTATTACTTAATGGAAAATATTATTTTTAATGATAGAGTATTGCGCGCAATTAAAGCTACCACTCAGGTGTTAAAAAACCTGGATTAGCCAAATTGAAAGGCTAAATCAAGATTTTAGAAAAAAAAATATCTAAGCTTCAAAATTTTGCCAGAATCTAATCTATCTCCCACAAATGGCCGCCATATCTAAAGCGAGAAAAAATTATCAATATATGAAATTATATCTAATTATATCAACAATATGAATCATTGATTTATGATTATTATGTCTATATTTGTAAAATGTAATCATTAACTCAAGAATTATTTATTCAACAAAATATCCAATTATAATATTATTAATCAAAAGTTTTGGATCATTCTTATACAAAATTTTGACATGATTTAAATTTTCCACCAACATAATTAAAAAAATGAAAGATGAAAGTTAATTAACTCGTGTTCTATTCATTCAACAAAATATACAATTATGATAAATATTCAAAAGAATTTATTCAACAAAATTTTCTCATATAATATCTTTAATCAAGAAAGTTTTGGACAATGCATCAATATATGAAATTATATCTAATTATATCAACAATATGAATCATTGATTTATGATTATTATGTCTATATATGCAAAATGTAATCATTTACTCAAGAATTATTTATTCAACAAAATATCAATTATAATATCATTAATCATGAAAGTTTTGGATTATTCTTATATCTATATATGAAATTCAATATTGATATCTTCTAATTTGAAAATTTGAATATATAAAATTATATTTAAAAATCCCTGATTTCATGGCAAATGGTGAACAACAACTTCTAATTTGAAAGTTTGAATACATAAAATTATATTGATAAATCCCTGCTTTCATGGCAAATGATAAACAACATATGCTAATTTGAAATTATGAATGTATATAATTCTTAAATGCCTGCATCCAAAAATGATGAAACTATGACACCCAATAGTAGACCACATATTATGTTGGATAGAAATATCTGTTCTCAATGCAGAAATTCTATATTAATACTTGGAAATGGCCGTTTAAGGGCCCATAGTGTGAATGGACAAAGATGCCCCCTTCCTGGCTCTGTCCCTTCCACCTCTCTTCTAGCAATCCCTCACAGTTCCCTCTTAAACCCTTTGACACATTTATCTATTCCATCTACATCAAATTGTGATGATATTATAACTTCAAACATTCTCGAATCTAATCCAACTTCAAACATTCTCGAATCTAATCCAACTTCAAACATTCTCGAATCTAATCCTGACATTCATATCACTAATTACTTCATTGACCAATTCCTTGACTTCGTTTGATCTCCAGAATTCCAAGAGGTGCCAGACAAGTGGTTTCTTCCAAATATGCCCAATGCATTGATAGGCTATTAAAGAACTTCTCTTCTAAGGATGCGTGGTCAGCCTTCCTTTTATTTGGTCACAAATCTTTCCAAATTCCTGCAGCGAATGGTAATTCTTTCACTAGGAATATTAAAGCATCTTATAATGCTAATTATGAACCACATAATATCATAACTCATACCAGCAACAAAAAACAGGACGATTTAAATTTCAAGGTGAAGCTAATCGATAACAAAATAAACAATTTGGACATTAATGGTGCTCTCAGATTATGTAGCTCTTTTGACACACTTGCTCCAGTAGATGCAGTGTCATACCAAAGACTACTAGACAAGCATCCCCAGACACTGGAAGTTATAATGATTAATGAAACTAAGAACCACCCTTCTCCGATTTTCACATCGGGAGAAGTATTTAAATCAGTGAGATCTTTTCAGAAAGACGCGGCTCCTGGATTTGAAGGTATCAAACCTTTATATCTTCATGATTTAACCAGCGACGAAGCGTCCATAGAAGCAAGGGAAGCATTGTTTCCCTTGAAATTTTTTTTACAAAATTCTTAGATAAACTTAATATAATCTTTATACTATGCTAAAAAAAAATAAAATTACTTCCTTAAAATAATTAATATATTTTTTATAACGTTAAAACGATTTATAATATTTTACTACGATAAAAAATTTACGTTAAAAAATTTACTATTATATTTACTATGTTATAAAATGGTTCCACGTCTTTATAGAGAAACCATTATAGAGAATGTATTTTATAGAGAAACATTTATAGAGAAAACAATTATAGAGAATGCATTTATAGAGAATTGTTTTATAGAGAATATAATTTATAGAGAATGATTTTAAAGAGAATTATTTTATAGAGAATGTCCTTTATAGAGAATGACTTCAAAGAGAATGATTTTATAGAGAATGCCGTTTATAGAGAATGGTTTTATAGAGAATGTCCTTTATAGAGAATGATTTCAAAGAGAATGATTTTATAGAGAATGTTGTTTATAGAGAATGATTTTAAAGAGAATTACTTTTATAGAGAATTATTTTGTGGAGAATTATATTGTAGAAAATTACATTGTAGAGAATTATTTTGTAGAGAATTATTTGTAGATCTTGATTTTATAGAGAAATATTATATATGGGACAATTATAGAGTTCAAAAATTTTATGCGGGATTTGAAAAAATCACCCCCCGCCTTTCAACAGAAAAGTTTGAATAAATAATTAGTCCTAATGATACGAAGAAATTTAAATATTAATGATAATTATACTTGCTTATAACCAGATCTATCTACCAATAATAAAAGGACACTTAACAATTCAAACAATGTTAAACAGGACCTTTTACCACAGGGTAAGGGGTTATAATTCAAGTTAGACATTGAAATTAAAAGGGGTAGTTTGTATTTGGAATTCCGTTATGTTTAACAAGTGCAAAAAACCTATAAAAAACATTTTAAACTTTTTGATTCATCTTTCTCTAAACTGATAAGGAGTTTACGGCTTGTAATAAGAAATTATCATTTTACTAAAATCAATTTAGAGAAAAAGGTGTATTATTTTAAATTTTGTCGATGTATAATTTTTAGGTAAGAGTTTGAACTATCATTTTGTATTTTGTAAATTCAGTACAACTATTTTCGGACCTATGATGATTTCGACAGAAATTGATCCAACCCAGTGGCGTAGCTACGGGGGTGGTTTTCGGGTTTGGACCCCTCCCAGAGCAAAAATTATTTTTAGATTATACGTTCAAAAGACTTAAAAGTGATTTTATATGAATTATATTTTTCTGTTTTGATGTTTGTGGAAGGATATTATATTACTATTGAAATTATTCTGGATAGTTTATAAAGTCATTGAGAATAATCTACTAAATTATAATAACATATTATTGATGCATTTAAAAAATATATTTATTATATATTATAGAAGATATGATTATGATTTATAAGATAAACCCGGCCGAAGGCCGGGCAAAAGGGCCGAAGGCCCGTTAAAGGGGGTCTGGGGGTGAAGCCCCCCAGCTTTTATATGTATGGACCCCCTCTAAGGAAAATTCGTAGCTACGCCACTGATCTAACCACCCCCTAGTGTTCCCTTCTACCATGTGAATATTAGACAGTACTCTAGTGATCTTAACTTAATTTTGGTAAAGCGATAGTTTGATGGGTATTGTTTTATTTTTTGTTGTTATTTGCATTTAAAATCATTAATTGAGTGCGTTTTTTAAATTTAAAATCTGATTTTGCAAGAAATGCACCTGAATAAGTGTAACATACCCACCCTTAATGTTGCGCAATCGGTTAATTTTAGGTAATTCCAAAACGGTTAGCCAAGTTTTTAGGCCAAAAAATCGGCTAAGCATAATTAGGCTTAGCATAAAAATAGGCGAAAACGAATAGTCAAAAATTAGGCATCGGCTAAGGAGCTCGGTTAATCACTCGTCATATATCGTTACATAATAAATTTATAAAATAATTTTAATAAAGGCTAGGCTTAGTGCTGCATAACGCAGATGGGCGATTAGCCTAGCTCCCAATCCCTACATTTTGTCTAATTAGTTTTAGGCGATTTTTCGGTTAAACCAAATTATAGCTGATTTTTAGGCTACTAACATTACTTATAAATTTCAGATTAATGTAAATCAAAATTTCTTCAGAAGTTCAATATAAAATCTTCTGAAATTTCTAGGGTGGGTATTCTACACATATTGGAATGCATTTTCGGCAAAATCAGATTTAAAATTTAATAAAACGCGCTCAATAAAATGCAAAAAATAGAACAAAATACCCATCAAACTATCGCCCTTACCTTAATTTTTACAAAATTATATAGATTTTCATTATAAATTATTAAATACAAAAAATTTTGGCGAAATCGTATGAAATTCCCAGGGTAGATTCTCTTCGCAATAGATTTGGTAAAATCAGATTTATCAGGGAAATTAGAAACGCGCACTATAAATCAGAGACCTACAGGCCCTTTAAATCCGGCCAGGATACACGGACTGGGCTGTAATTTAATTTTTTTAAATATACCCGGGCCGAGCCTAAAATTTTATTTTTTTAAATGCACGGGCCGGGTCAAAAAAGCTTTTTTTTAAAAAACCCGGGCCAGGCCATATATTTTAAAACCAAATATTTTAAATCACCATTATTAACTAGGCAAAAATATATAATATATTTTTAAAAAATCGGGGCCGGGCCATGCAGATTAAAATAATGCACAAAGCAACTAAATATTGACAAAATTTTCTAAAAAAATTGGCGTAAGGCTGGCTTTGTTGCTAATAGTTTTTTTTTTAAATTGCTACTCTACTAGTTAAAGCAAAGCACTAATAGAAACTAATGCATATATACATTGTATATAAATATAAATTTAATTATATAATTTAAAAATATAATTTAAACATTTAAATTAATATTGTGAGTGCCCTTCTTAGGTAATCTAACATGGGCCTTGAATAGTAATCCTCGACTATTCTATACACCCGTTGAGCTCTTTCTATTAAAAATA